CACTCACAATCTGATTCAACCGGAACAGGATTAAACAGCAGGCGAAGAAAATCAAGCTCATTAGTCAACCTTCCACAGCCGACTGCATAAAAGTTCCTTCGCAAGCAAACCGGACCCTTCCCAGCCACCGAAGAAGCCATACACGCTATGAGGCTGCTTCACATCCACACGCTTCTGGTGACGGCGGGCGGGCAGCGGGCGAGCGGGCGGGCGGCGGCTGGGGGGCGGGCGGGTGGTCGCGCGACGTGGTTGCAATTACGAAGGCAGGGGAGAGACGGCGGCGCGGCGAGGGAGAGCCCCCCACTGGTCGATAAATTAAAAAAAAAATAATAAAAAACGCGTCTCGCTGCCGGCAGCTCCCTCGCCCCCGGGGCAGCGAGCAAGGCGACCATAGGGACAGCCGCGGGCGCGAAAAATGAGGTATTAATCAGGCGCTGAGATCAACTCAGTTGTGAACTGATTGTATTGGGCCGATTTGCCAGCGGATCAAAAAACAACAAAACAAACCTGTTGCCTAGAAATGGGAAACTATCGCGAGAATATAAATGAGACAATGAATACTTTTCGAGATCGTTAATTGAAGCAATTGAAGACTGTAATTTTCAATGTTAGTTATTTGGAGCCGTTAGAGTTGTAATATAGAATTATTGAAAAAACTTCGAAACAAAACCAGTATTTCTTCACAAAAAAGGGGATTCATCATTCAACATGTGTAGGGAAATGAAACAATAAGTAACGTTTTGGCCACCTCTCACCATGGAATCAATAATAAATTAATTATAATTAAATAATTGTAAATTGGAACCGAAGTTTAAGGAATGCAAAACATACCAGTATTATGATACAGTAAACATGTTTTAACTGAAATGAATTCGTGGAAAATAAGTAAAAATCCATGTTTTGTGTTCATGTGGCCCACTGCGTCGTGGGGCAGTTCGCAGCCGGCCAGAGGAAGGGACCGGCGCGAGCGGCGGCGCGGCTGAGCGGCGAATAACAAGGCCTGCTCACGCTCAGAGGGGGTGACGTCACTCGTCGCGCGCGGGAACACGACACCCCTGTTAGGCTGATTGTTATTATCCATGAGTGGATTGCGCGTCGCAAGCACAACCCGAGCTGACGCTGCGCATGTCGCGTTACTTACACCATGTGCAAGTGCGTGAGGGCAATGGCACATCGGCAGAGGGACGACGGGAAGAGGTATCCAAGACCTTCGAAGATCCGGGGCGGATCAGCATGCGACCATATAAGTGCTCCTGGTATTTGAGAAATGCCAAGAGTGTGTATATCATAATATAGGTGTTTAGTAAAGGAAAAGGTCTTTCTCGGGAAGAAAAGGGAGAAGTAAGAAATATAATCGTTGAAACAGAGTTTATATTAACCTTACCAGGTAATATAAACAAAGGGTGAGCAAATGAAAATGAAATGCAAAGAAGCATTACTCAACAAAGAAGAAAAAAATGAAAATGTATAAGAAAAAATGAGACGAGAAAAAAACGGAAGTACGACAAATGAAAAAGAAGACGATGGTGGTATGAGAGAGAGAAAGAAAGAGACAATAGTTAAAGGAAACTAAAGGAGAAAGAAAGGAGATGGACATCAAGACAAGAAAGGTCGAGAAGAGCAGAGATGTGACAAGACGAAAACATATCTAGTAAAATCAGGAAATGGGAGGGGGGGGCTGGCAAGGAGGGACACAGGCGAGCGAAGAAGCGGACGCGCAAAAGCCGCAAAGGCGCGATGCGTCGCGTGGCCGCCGTGCGCCGGGGCAGCCAGGCGGGACGGAACGGGACTGCAGCGACTGCGCGGTGCGCATCATTGCCGCGTCATTCGCGTAATGGGGCACGTCGCGAGCGGCTTAATTGCGGCTTACTTATTAATTAGGGGGACACCCCGCCCCCTTCGTGCCTGCTTGCATTGCGCGGGCGCGCGCCCATGACAAACGGCCCCGCGCTGCGCTGCGCCGCGCCGGGAACGGGGTCAGCCGCCGCCGCCGCGCTTCCTGGATAATGAGATGGTCCTGCCCCGTTCGTCCCCCCGTTCACGCGGTATCGATGTGTTTTCTCAAATGATCTACCTACCGACATACATTTGGAACAATTTATGCCTGAATACCACATGCAAAACTTCCTCTAGGTTTATTTAATTTTAGCAATATTACATATAAAAATATGTAATTATATGTAAACACACACAAACTTTTCCAATTTTTGTAATTCGGTAAATGCCTACCTTTCCCAGTGAATAAAGAACAAAAAGTGCTCTTTCCAATAAATGTAAAATGAACATAACCTTATGCTGAGTGAAATTAAAAACAAAATTCATGTTTACTTATGATTTTTTAGAGTTAATATTATTCTACAGATTTCACGTGATTCTGTTGAGGGATTTTCCAGCAATGAGTGAGAGAAATAAAAATCAAGCAGTTTCAATACCATCTTCTTTGCAGCTTTACTAAATAATGTTTGTAGAAACCCAGATTTTTCCATTGGCTTTCCAGTTTTCCGGTAATTTTGCACCCATCCAAATTACTAAGAAAATTCGTCAGGATTAAGTAATACAATTAGACTTCTTCACTTCGTTTTCCCCGCTCAGCTTTTCATACCTTTACCTTTAAACTTCTCACATGTCTATTGCACTAGCAAAACTTACACACGTGCATCAACAGCAAAATAAAACATAGAAAATCTCGAATTCGTTGGCCACTGAATGCACCATTTCAACGTCCAAACAATGCTCTGATGCTCAGGAATAGCAAAAACGTGTGCAAGGGGTAATGAGGCGTCGCTGTGGAATTTCGCAGTGTATTTTCACACGTTGCTGCTACTCTGGCAGCGGCGCGGCGTCTGCGCCCATTCCAGCACTTGGCCACCCACTCACGCGATGATGTCCTCGTTGGGGAGGCCCACCAGCGAGGAAGAGAGCGGAGGTAACGCCGAGGCCGAAATAATCGCGCGCCGTGAAAACTTCTATTAGATAGCGGGGCCTCCTTTATTTGCACGAACAAACGCTCGTTTTGTCTTCGTCCGCCAGCAGCTCTTCTTTCTGTTCGTGTACGCGTACTCTTAGTTGCCTGAGTACACAACGCTAAATGATTACAGAAGAGCCCATGGTTGTCGAAATCTCAAGAGCCCACTGAGTTAATGATCGTCAAATTTACAGCGTCAGAGTTGCACGATGAATTGGTACTTACACAATGCGACAATGAACTATGCTGAAAATTATGATGGTCCAAACTACGTAGGTACTTAATAAAATACAGTAAGAATAATTATGAGGTAATTTATTGTTATAACTGATTTTGAAAATTATCCCTGAAAAGCATCCCATTAGGGAAATCGAAGACCAAAATTCATATTTCCTTTTTAGCAAAGCAGATAGTTGAAGCATTTTGCACAAACTGATTAGTCCATTCCATTAAAACCTCACAGATATCTAAACCAACGAAAAATATCAAAAGCAGAAAATTCCCTCCAACAATACTTGAACTTAATTACTTATAAACAAACACAGTAGGACTTACTCGTGTTGGACAACACTTTAGTGATTTTCAAACTGATCTCGAAATGTTACCAAAACAAGTGAGCTAAATGGGGCGGGAAAGAATTGATAATAAAAATTTGTTGAAGTGAACTAACAAGCGAAGATTCACAGTCATAACACTTAGGATAGATGTATAACCTTATTCACAATAGGTGTATACGCGAACCAGAAAGTTTAAAGGGTGTACACATGCACAAAACAAAACATTGAAACAAAATTGTTTAACAGGCAATGAGGAGAATGGAAATGGAAGAACTCTGTCGAGAAAGCAAGTGGTAAAAAGGATTGGGTGGGAAGGGGCGAAAGGAAGCGGAGGAAGAGAGCGGGAGTACCTGGGAGCAAGAGATATGGTCAGAAGCAACAGGCCTGTTTCGGAGCACTCGAGGCGCACTGGAGGGAGAAAAGCGAGGGAAAAGAAATGAGAAGTATCAGAACAGAAGGGAGTGGAAAGAAACGGGGTGAGCTGGTTGCAGTGGGTTAGAGTCAAGAAGATTAAAATACATAGTGACGATGCGCCCGCAGTAATTGAAGCTTTTTGAAAGCACAACTGCCATATTTCCTGTGCGAAACACCAGAACGTGCGCGTAATTGTCGATCAAAGTCGTTTTTAAGATGTCGTTTTTAGATGAGATGTAATATTTGAAATATGTTGAATTTAGCCAAGACTAAATGAAAAAAATCAAGAGTTTGCTTACTCATAGCCCAAATTAAATTTGTATATTTCATTCCTAGTAACACTTCATGTTAAAATATGTTCATTTTGAGTCGTACAGTTGAAATTATTAATATTAAGTATTAAAACTTAAAATTCAATGGATGTCAATGGAAATGTTGTGGTTGACAATAATTTGAGATCAAAGCACAGTCTCAAAAACGTTGCTTTTAAAATAGACAAATATTTTAACAAACTTGACAACTATTTCCATATATTTTAATGTAATATCCTACACAACATTTCCCGATGCCCAAACACACTCGATAATAAAATCTGGGTTTAACATATTTAAATTTTACCAACAGTTAAATCTATAATTAAATATTTAAAACAAATCTTAGATCTTCAAAATTAACATATTCCCTCTACTTAGATATGCGCTACATAAATTTCATATTCCAATACTTTTGACGCTTCTAATCGTGTCATTACATGCCGAACAAGAAGACTGTGCTTTTAATGTCGCACATCTACAAACACTACCAAAAATACACCTACAGGAAACGTGCACTTATAACAATAAGAACCGTAGCTGCCAGTATTATGTACTGTCAACAGACGTCCTCTAGTGCGAAGTGCTTCAACAAAGAACGCAGTATTTGCAGACAACTTCTCTTTACATAATCTCAGCTCTTCATTCAGAGTCAGAAAGAAGAGGAAAGGCAAGGCAAGGAGCGAGGGAGGGGAGGTGGGAGAGGTCGCGCGGGGGAGGCGCAGCGGCGCCGGCAGGGTCTACCTGACTCACCACGCAGCGCCTTCATGTGTGCCACGGCCATGCGCAGGATGGTGAGCTTGTCGGGCTTGCGAGCCAGCGCGGAGCAAGTGGGCACCATGTCCGACAGCTCGGTGATGTAGGCCGTCATCTTGTTGCGGCGCCGGCGCTCGATTTCGCAGTGGTTCTCCCTGCAGTGGGGGTGAAGAAACAGGCGCACGGTCAACGCTACAACCTCGAGACACGAGAGCGGGTGCGCGGAGCGGGCGAGTGCAAGCTCAGGACACAAGTACTGTTTCATGCCTCCTAAGTAAAAACGCAACTAAGAAATGAAGTCAGTACCACACTACTTTTACTCAAGAAACTAATACAAAAAGTTCACGTTTAAGGGATGAAGCTATTATATTTCATTCTACTTCATACGAAACAACTGCCATCTTGGATTAACATTACGATACTTCACGCAACCTTTTACGTAATGTATTATAGATTCATGAAGCACAACGAATTCCTTCGTTTCAGATGAATACTTTTACTTCCGTAACATGAATTAGTTTTTTTATAAAATACAAAACTCCCCGTTTAGAAGGTTACGAGCTTCATTTCTCTCGCTCAGCATGAGCCAAATATTTCTGCGGATAATGTCTGCGGACATAATATTTGACGCAAGTTGTTCTTCGTTTTATATCGGTTTCTCAAACAGAAATAGTTCTCAGCTTGCACATTCTCGTTCCAAATTCTCATCTAAATTAATAATTTGTGACATTAAGAGAAACTAATACTAATTTTCACAAGTACAATGCAAGAAAATATGTACCAACATATACATTGGGGTTTCTAGTCAGTATTCTTAGCAGCACCATTTCTGCAAACATTAGGACTCAGTTACGGCACTATATTATGTTCCCTTCCTGTCAACTACATTTCGAGCATGTGGGGCGGGCATGCGTATTTTAGTCTAAGCAAGAGGCCCAAAAATCTACACATCTTGAAAATGGCCAAAAACAAGTGTTTTGGTATATAATGAATACGACGTTACAGTGAATTAATTTATGGATTTTAAATACTACGCACATATGCGTTGTAATTTTACATTTAGAGAAAAGGGAAGAAAAGGGAGAAGTAAGAGATACAATCGTTGAAACAGAGTTTATATTAACCTGACCGGGTAGGAAAAGTAAATTAAAGTTAAACGCAAAGAAGCTTGACTCAACAAAGAAGAAAAAAAATGAATTTGTTTAAGAAGGAATGCGACGAAAAAAAGACAACAACCAAAGTACGACAAATGAAAAAGAATAAATAATGGTGATATGCGAGGGCATCGAGAGAGAGGTAATGCTTAATTTTGGAGGATAATTTTCATATTTACAATATTAAAACCATTTTATCACAAAAAATGATATATACTGGAGACTATAGTATGCCCTTAATTGAAATGAAGACTTGATACGTAGTTACAATACGTGATACATAATTTTATTTCTGATGATTTTTCATTGCTGATCTGTGTTATCAATGACGATTTGCTTCGCATGTAATTCTCGGTGATTTTTTAACAAATACACCACACATGCCAATTTTATCATCATTTAACATCACATCCATTGTAACAAGAACGATTAATTAAATGAACACCTCTTTATGCATTAAGTACATTTGAAATTCATAATTCTCGAGGTCCTGCAAAAGCATCGACACATTGTCGAACTCAAAATATACACGCAAACATACGTCAGTGGATGCAGAACATCTCTCTCGTCGAGGCCTCGGCAGGCGCCACTGCCGCTTCGTCCCGTGCGCAGATGCAGGGGCAGGAGCGCCGCACGGCCGCAGGCAACGCGCCGCCGACTCACCGGCGCTGCCCGTGTATTATAAACACCGGGCACCCAATAATGACTATAATTTATTCAAGAAGTAATTTCCGCGGCCCCGAATCCCGGGCCTCCGCCGCCGGGCGGCCTTCACCGGCCGCAGACACCCTCTAATGAAATTTGGTATGGAAACCCCTCATTAACATCGGCGCGGACGAAAAAAAATATTAGAGTCCATCTCACGAAGAATTCACCCGGCTGGGGAAGGTCTGTACGATATAAACAATTACGCATGATAAAATATTTTTTGTACGTCCATTCAGTGGGAAAGAGGGGTATTTTATAGGTAGCGATCCTCGCGTGGGTTTTCTATACTTGTTTATGAACCCGTGGGAAGTCATTCTTGACAGGCTGATTCTTAAAAGGAAAATAACGTGTCAGGTGCAACTGCTATCGCACTTGGTAAGATCTTTTAGACGATATCCTTAATTTGGAATTAATTAGCAATCTCGGACTGAAAAGTAACGTATCGCCTTTCTGCTAACACGTTTCCGACAAAGAAATGAATTATTATTATTATTATTATTATTATTATTATTATTATTGCCATCATCTTCCTAATCATCAAGGCAGTGGAACGGTATGAGTAACACCAATTACTACTAACAGTACAGTCGTAGTACTACTAGTCTTCGTCGGAGTACCACTACTACCACTGTGCTACTAGTACTAGTAGTAGTAGTAGTAGTAGTAGTTAGTAGTAGTAGTAGTAGTAGGTAGTAGTAGTAGTAGGTAGTAGTAGTAGGTAGTAGTAGTAGTAGGTAGTAGTAGTAGTAGTAGTAGTAGGTAGTAGGTAGTAGTAGTAGTAGGTAGTAGTAGGTAGTAGTAGTAGTAGGTAGTAGTAGTAGTAGGTAGTAGTAGTAGTAGTAGGTAGTAGTAGTAGTAGTAGTAGTAGTAGGTAGTAGTAGTAGTAGTAGTAGTAGTAGTAGTAGTAGTAGTAGTAGTAGTAGTAGTAGTAGAAGTAGTTGTAGCTGCAGCATTAGGAGTAGTAGCAGTAGTGGTCGTGGTCGAAGTCGTAATCGTAGTAGTACGTAGATCGCAAGCGATCCCTATTTTTTTATCCTAACTGAAAATTCACAGCAGTAGAATGCCAGCCATTTGCCCAATGCTCATTCGGTTTCAAATTGACTCTCGAAACCTGGACATTTGTTAGGCGTCTATTACGCAATACTTCAATAAAATTTATTTTAAAAATGGTTCCAATTCTTTGGAAATTTTTAAAATGTCCCAGAGGTAAAGCACCAAAATTAAAATATCGGGTTCAAATTCACAGGGTCCGAACACCAGCCAGATATATTCTTGATTATCAATTTTGGGGAAAATCGACCGAATGGTTATGCCGCCATATTCCTTCACAGACAGACGTTTTTCCGTCAATCGATTTTTCGATATTCCGCAAAATATAGATTCTGGCTTCATCACGTGTTGATTTTTTCTCTAAATTTAGTATTGGATTTATCCACTTTTTCATTATGAAACAAAGGTCCGACAATAAGCCATTATATATATATATATATATATATATATATATATATACACATATATATATCCTCTTATCTCCTTATATATATATATATCCTCTTCGTATAATACGCCAAACATATTTAAGAGAAAAAACAGACGTTCGCGGATATTTTAACGCAAATAATGCGACAGGACCACATTCAATTCTTAACGCTGCAACACACTTTACCATCGTGTATAGGCTTCTGGGTACTCATGATCCATAGTCCAGGTGCTCCCAAATGTATAGAAACTAGAAATCTAGGGACAATTAAATGGTGTTTGATAGTATTTGCTATTTAATCTCATTGCAGTTTAGTTTTCATATGCCTAAGAAAATCCTGAACAATATTAGAATGTTAACCCACCCAATGTACCGGGCCTATAATACTATATGAGGGTTGCCTTTTATATTTCAGGATTAGAGAACAAAAACAAATATTAATCATCGGAAATCACTTTATTGTTTTTCAAAATATTTCCCATGAAGATCTATACACTTTTGCATGCGTTTGAATCATTTGTCGAAGCACGTTTGCCACTCTGATTGAGGTGTCTCCAAAACATGTATTTTGAATGCAGCAACCGCTTCTTCAGGTGTCGAAAAACGCTGACCTCTCAGTTTGTTTTGTACGTACGGGAATAAAAAGAAGTCATACGGTGCCAAGTCAGGACTACACGGCGGATGACTCATCAAATCGATGTTTTGGGTGCTCAAAAATGCACGTTTGTTTGAGCGATGGTGAGAGGCTCGCATTGTTGGTGAAGAGTGATCGTCTTCGGCGGTTGGTTTTCCTGATTTCTTGGAATAGACAGCCTGGCAAAACAAATCTTTTGTGTACGCAACTCAAGACATTGACTGTTCTGGCGTTGTTCATACGTGGTACGTTGTCCATTTTTTGGGAAAAAAAAAAAAACAGGCGACCATCTTTTGCAAGTGCTTCGTGCGCGAACAACTTTTGTTGGATTTTGCTCATCTTGAAACACCCATACAGTCGACTGCTTCTTACTTTCGGGCCCATAAGCGTAAATCCACGATCCATCACCTGTCTCGATGTCATAGAAGTGTTTCGTAGCACCGCGATCGAATTTTTGGAGCATTTTTTTCGACCAATCGACACGAGCCTTTTTTTGAGCGATTCACAAATTGTGTGGGATCCAACGCGAACAAATTTTTTTGACAGTCAAATGTTCATGCAATATTGAATGTATGCTGGTCTCACTAATGCATAAGGTTGCCTCAATCTCATGATAGGTCACATGATCTTGCAATATCAGTTCACGCATAGCATCAATGGTTTTCGGAATAACAACTGATTTGGGACGACCTTCGCGAAATTCGTCTTGGAGTGAACTACGACCACGATTGAATTCACCATAGCATCGGTCCTTGAAGCTTCATCGCCAAAAATTGAATCAAGGTCATCCATGCACTGTTGCTGAGTTCATCTACGTCGAAAGTTGTAAAAAATAATCGCACGAAAATGTTCACGATTTAATTCCATTTTTGGGCCAAGATGAATCTTTTAAGTTACTGAAAACAACACAAATAGCTCTCGTAGGTCAAAACAGAGTTCGTGTAACCTCAAAACATCCAACTTTACGATAGAGCTGTCAGTTGCCAGATTGCAACACCAGGATGCCAAATCCCGAAACATAAAAGACAACCATCGTAATGAACAAAAAGGGGTTGGTCGTTGGAAGTTGGGTTCCAGTACGTCGCTGTTATCACTTTTAAAACAATGATTTACAAATATCAGAATGTCAAGGCAATTACATCAGGTCCAAATAAGCAAATATATTTCAAGTACAACGACCGTTGAAAGATCTTAAATTTCGCTACGAAATAATGTAATCACGTTATCACTAGGGGCCGGATTTTATTGAAATGTCATTTCTTTCTTTTCTCTTTAGAACAATGTCGTTTAATATATATTATATATAATTCTCCGTTGATTTCGGCGTATAAGTCATTTTTTCAATTTGTTTACGTCATTTTTAATTCGTTTTTCAATTCACATATTTTATTGATTTTAATATCATTTCAATGGTATTTGTTTCAAATAATATTTTGATGATTCAAAAAATGTTCACCACAGAATTTCTGAGTAGCCTAATTTATTTCTTCGCTCATACTATAATGTAATGTCAGCAGTTGTGGGTACTATGGAAGCTAAGGTTTTTGAGATGCTATTCGGCGCCATTGTCAGTTCGACCGATTTTGAAATAAATAAAAGCTAAAATTATCTTTTAAAGAAGTCCAAACCAAAGTTTGAGTTGTCTTGAACAAAAGGAAGAAGCATCGATTACAACAGTAATATATCCAACTGCTTGAGTTGTTCAGCTGAAGTGGTTTTGACCAAAATTTTTGACGTCATTATTCTTTGGTTTTAGGGCATTTTTAAAGCATTTTAAGAGCATTTTATTGATCATTTTTGGCAATGTTTTAGGTCATCAAAATCCGCCCTCTGCTAATCACATTGATGTCCGCGTCTTGTTCTCTCAATGCGCAATGAAAATCACACTAAGGCACTTAAATGATTGAGGCCTCAGTATTACAATTCCATTAGAAATGCAAAATTAATTTTAGTAATTGGATTACAATAAGACATAAAAAATATTTTCTTGAAAATTCCAAAAATTAATCATCAGTACTACTTCCAAAAATTGGCTATTCAGTGACTCGTTATTGCTTGACTTTTCTGTACATTCGAACCTTCTGTTCAGAAGTTGCCATTTAACGCAAGGGCCAATGGATCTGAATATGCGAAGATACGTTGCACATATAGCTGTAAAATCCCTCGGCAAATCCAATCAGAAATCCGACCTCCACGTGCAGTGAGTTATCATGGGGCCTAACGAAGTCCTCGTTAGGCCGAAAAGAGTGCGGGCAGCGGCGGTGGTCGTTGGGTCTAACAACGGCGTCATCACCGACTAGGAGCGCCAATAATCTCGGCGACCGGCGCGGCGGCAGAAGCGGACGACCACGTCGCCCCCCCCTCTCCCCGCGCCCGGCCGAGGCCAATTGCAGAAATAGCCATCGCCGCCGCCGCCCCGGTCGCGGAATTGCCGTGCATTCAGCTCGGGGGCGGCGCGGCGGCGGCGACGTTGGCGGCGCGCCGACACGCTCGGGCTGCTGACCCCGCGGCCGTTCCCACGCTCCACGGGCGGCGGCAGCGGCTGCGCGGACTCCGGCAGGTGAGCCGCACCGCTCGTCGCTGCAGCCTCCGTCCCGCGCTGCCTCAGGAGCAGCCGCCACCACCGACGACTCCCCCACCTCTGCACTATCGTCTCATCGCATCGCCCGCGTCCTCTCTCCCACCCCCGAGCCCTCCGTCAGTTTGTCCGTCGCCTCTTTCTTTCTTCCTTTCTTCGCCTCGCTTGGACGCCCCGCTCGGCTCCACGCGCCAGAGACCCCTACAGCCTCCGCCGCCGCAGCGGAACAACGCACGGCGCTGGCTGCGGCGACACAGTGAATCCGGATCTTCAATCTACGGGACCCCGGGAGAGTGCATCTCCATGATCGAATGCCCTGGTTAGCAGGCACGAAAACAATGTGTTCGAAAACAACATTTTCCGATTGCGATATGTTCTGCCTGTGAAAACTGTCTAGGATTTTTGTGAAAGCAACAATGTATGGCAGTAAACAATTAAAATTGACCACTACTTTATTTCATTGAATTGACAAGCGTTCTCAACGATCTCAATCTTCTATTCTAAAATCAGTCAAGGTGAACAAGGAATTCTTCATTTCGGGAGCACAAAAAGAGTATCAGATTTTACTTATCGCACGTATACCTCCAAGGCTGCATGATGCATCAGCAATTTCACAATAACAAGCAATATATATTTTACTTTCTACACTCCAATCCTCGGTGCTTTTCGAGTTGCGGAGTGAATGCTAAGCCTAGGGGGTCGCTAGTGCTGCGCAGCGAATGTCCCGGCGCCCAGCGCGGCCCGCTGAGCGGCGGCGGTGCGCCGGGCCTGACACTCACCTGGCAAACCGCTCCTTGTCCTGGATGCTCTCCTCCTCCATCCGGGCGTACTTGCTGCCGCTGGGGTCGTCCTCATCGGACCTGAAACCATAAGGGCTATCCATCAGTGACGCTATAGCTAGTAACCAACGTAGCATTCTTATGTATATTTCATGACAGAAAACTCTACATCACATCTACACCAGCAAAAGTAATACAATATAAATCTGCAATTCAACTTCACATTTGATAATGAACAAGAGGGATAAATAAAATGGTTAAAAATAAGATATATAAATCTTTAACGCAAAGCCGCCAGACGAAATTAATAAGATAGCATGCTCGTATGTTAGATATTTCAATTAATTAATATTAACCAGTCAAGAAATTCTAGATTTGTCGCTTGCAAATAATTCTGGAAGGATTTCTCAATCAAGTCAGTCCAGCAAAATGAAAATACAACTGCAGTGTGATTCTCTGTTCGCGTTTTGCATAACTCGCATATTAAGACAGTATAACAATAGAAGAATAAAGCTAGAAATAGCGAGTACAAATCATGCAACACATTGATCGAATATTATTCGGGGTTACGCCAGTAATCAACTAAGACATAATGTTTTCTGTTGAGATTGAATCCTTAAACTTTAAAAAATTGTATTCAAAATGTGAACGTTTATAAAAAATTATGAATTATCCCAGTTACGAAAGTACGTAAAAGAAATCAAAAGAAAAACAATATATTCCGTTATCGAAGCAGCAGCCACCTGAAAGTACATTGTCCATGGGTGGAGTAGGTAAGTCGGTGGGTACAGACATCCGGGCTTTGTAATATTAAGCTTACTGTTACGTGGTAGTCCGTCTTTGCCAATAACTGTATACAGGAAACAAAGCGAACTGCCCGCGTCAACCACACAAGGTCGCCTGCGGCACATCGTGGCGAGGTCGCGCTCCGACAGCGCTAATAAATCGTCGCGAGAGAGGGATCGCGGCCGCGTCGCGCGCCACGCGTCCCGTAAATCCATATCAGCCGCGCGCGAACTGCTCACGTGAGGGCGTCGGCGAGGGAGAGGGGTAGAGAGGGGGCGGGCTCGCCCTGTCCGTCAACAGGCGAGCTGCCGCTCAATAGCTGACGCAGGGGGGGGGGGGCTCTCTCTGAGGCAGGCCCAGCGACGCGTGGGAGACAAGTGAACCAGACGGGAAGAGAGGGGTGCGAAAAGACTGACTAGAGCTTCATTCCGGATCAGGGCCAAAAGCTTTTCTTTCTCTAGAAGGACATCAAAATGAAAATCCGCCCATATGTGTTAATTATCTCATTACATACTGAAGTGATTATTAATATTCTTCTAGAAAAAATTTCGATCACAGCATATTACACCCACCACTGATGACTTATTATTCTCCAAATTTAAAATCACACAAGAAGAAAGATACATTATTTTCTTTTGCCTGCATCATACACGTCATTCCTACTGCCTGAAATATTACACTTCTTGGTCTCCAGAATGGACAACTTTAGGCAAACTTGGACATGACCTTGAGGTTTCTTTTCTCATTGATGGATAGCTGTACGTTCGGCTACATTCAAAGAAAATAATATCTGTATGAAAAATTTTCAAGATACACACACACGCACAGACTCATATAACCGAAGGTAGTTGGATTGTGAAGCAAGGGGGTAACAAATATTAACTATACTCTCTGTAGACAATGGAGCAAGGACCAGCATACGGAAAGCACGCGTTAAACTGTACAGAGGGCCATGGAAGTGGGAAGTAACCGGAGAAGGCTGAAATCAAAAGGATTCCTAACACCTAATATCTTTTAAACCCAAATATGTAAACCTGCAGTACTCCCAGTATAAGGGATATATTACATTTACAAATATTCTACAAAAACGAATATCAAACAATATATCAATATTGTTTATGTTATAAATATTAACTATAAGTTAACAAATTAAAAGTTTTATACTCAGCGAAAATGAATCGTATATAGGTTTTAATTATTTGCAGATACTTTTTATATATTTACATTTATGTATTATTGTACATGTGCCCCCCCCCCCCGACAAAAATCTTGGGTCCATCTCTGCACAAAGAGATTTTACAGCAGATTTTCCTCGGGATCTCCCGTTCTCGTTGCCTCTCATTCCAGCGTTGCTCCACATCTCTTCATAACCACCTACCCATCAAATCATTCACCCGTTCCCGGTCTGACCATTGGTATAAGAAAGAATAAAGTGAAAGAGTTGTTGTCGGGAGCAGAGGAGGCGACTTCGGCGGCACTGGCGACGGAATCAGCATGTATCAACACATTCGTAGATCAATGCCTCTTCCCCAGGATTTCGGTATCATAGAAACCCATCCTTAAATTGCATGACCCCATGAACAGTGAAGCGAATGACGATCCAACGTCAACAAAGCACGAAAAGAAGTTTGATCACGAAGATTTTTCAGACCGCCGAGGTAGTGCTCTTAATTAAAACGTTCCTTTACGAGCGCACGTCCCCCTCAAGAAGCTCCTGTTCTGCCTCCGACTGTAGGAAAGCGCGACGGTAAGTTTCCTCTTACACTGACCTCCAAATATCATGATGTCTCCGGAAGTTAAAGTCTCGGACCTTTTCTTGGCACCTCTTGAGAGTAACTGACATTAATGAAGTAAAGTGTTCCCTACTTACGTAAGAAAGTATGAAATAGAGGGTAAAAATGCAGGTGGTCAAAATCGTTTTATTTAATATTTTGTACGTCATTTGTCAATTTGATAAACTGAAATATGATGGAATATAATTCGAATTCTTATCATCACATTATTACACTGTTGATTCTCGAGTCATTGGTACAATTAGATTGTAGCTTTCAAGTACATGTAAATATTAACAATACGATCAAACACGAAACCTTTTATTCTCGAAATTTAGACTACTCCGCATGCACTCCCATCCCCTTACTATGAGATGTCTCGTCTCCAAGTACCTCCAGAAACTGGAAGTTTCTGATGGTACATTCGGATACTTCAATCCAGCACCTTCGTCGGATACATCATCGCAACTTTAATTTAGTATCTCGATGGATATTGGGAAGAATTGTATATCAGTACATTAACCTATGATTTACTGAATATGCTGAAAATAGCCGAAAGAGAATGCAAAATGTACAACTAATCTTAATATAAAAATATTAATATAGAACGCGCGGACTTGCCACATAAATGCAAAAACATTATCTAACACATCTCTTATTTACCCTATATTGGAATACGGAGTAGCTTGATGGGGCCCTTGCAAAAAGGGATAAAGACACAGTATGGATAAAATTCAATGGCGGTCAGAAAAATTCTCATCCGGTAAACATAGCACAATCGTAGGTTGGACTTTTAGAAACTCTCAGAAAAAAGGCCGGGCTTTGTGCCTTTTAAAACCGCACATATGAGAACCGGTGTGGGGTGCAATTCCGAGCAGAATCGAGAAACCAATCTACAATGGCAGAGAATATAATCCTAACAAAATCGAATGAAAGAAGCAGAATCGACATTTTCTAAATCAGGCGATAAAGGATTGGAACAGCGACAGTCTTTGAAATCTTTCCTAAAAATGTTTACAAATAGTTTGGACCACATATAATTTAGTTTAGATCAACAGTATTATTTATTACATATGTGCTATTTAGAATAAGAAATAGTAGCGTACACGTGTGAGAGCTCTCGCATGTTAAATCCCACCCTCTTCCATATCCTTCAATTTCCATTTATTGGGAAACGTTAACAAAACGTGTTTAATCGTTTAAAAAATGTCGAACTAACTTCCAATGTACTTTCAAAATATCAAATGACAATAAAAAAATATGCAAATTATATTTGAAAGAAATTTCAGTACGTATTAAGTATTATAGATAAATGTTCTTGGAACAATTCACAAAACTTCCTTAAAAACATTTGAAATAAGTATACAATTTCCTCGACAGGTTTTCGCTTTCCTTGATAGCCACAAAAATATTAGAAAAGCTTTTTACTCCTGAGAAAGTTTCGTTAATTTGTCCATGCGAAGATGCAGGATCGGGTCAATGCAACCCTACTCTTTGTAATAGTATTTTATTTTATTACCGAACGGAGAGGAACATCCGTGCAATTTAATCGCATATACTATCACGTAATTGGTATAATTTCGCATACAGTTGCGCAGTAATATTATACAATAGCGCAGCTCAGCCCGTTTTTTGACGGAACGTAAGACCGCGGATAGCTGAAGTCAACGCCGTCTGGAATTAACGTCCACACCCGAGAAGTAACGCCGTTTTGCATTCCAGAAGGCGTTGCTCGAGTACACTGAATTGTTTATGAAGATGCACTTTTAAGAACAGGTTAATCATTTAAAAAATAATAGGAGTTATAACCTTTATACGAGGTCCAACACACTTCAAAACAAAAAATCAGCTTCACATTTAGAGAAAAAATGGCTTCACCTCTAGCCCTAGCAAAAATAAGTGTGTGTGAGGGGAGGGGGGAATTAAATATGAATTTTGTAGAAATGAATACCAAGCATTATGTTTTTGATTTTGTATGAAACTTATGAAAATGCGCCCTTGTGAAAAATATAAAAACTTATTGAGTGGGAGCCTAGAAGAACACATGGTGAAAAAGGTTATTGCTTTGAAAATGCTCAAAATAACTTCAAATTTATGTACTCGTATGTTCTGCCAGTTTTAATGAATATCTGTCGAAGTGCGAAGCAGTTTTAATGACAATTTGGAAAATCAATTGCTGATCAAAATACGCGTATTGCTAAACAGCAATTACACAAACTCTAAGAAATCAATTTTGCGAGTGGTTGTTGTGAAGCGAAAAAGATAGTTATGAAAACTTGTTAGATTTACTATTTGTTGAAGTTCACCAAAGAGAATTGTTTTAGCGGGGAAAAGGCGAGTCAAAATATTTAAATTCCAGCATTTGGGATGTTAGTATTTTATCAGTAAGAATAAAAAGAAAAGAAAAGTTTAGATGTAGTTTTAAAAATAATTTGTAAGACTATGAAATAAAATGTAAACAATCAGCATTATCCTGGATTTTGTTTGCCCGTCTACGTACACATTTTCTTCTCTCAATAAACC